GTCAAAACAGCTCTCGGACTAAATAATTGATTTTTTTGTTATAAGTTCTTGAATTCTAAAAGATCAAGAGTTAAAATCCACTTCCAGCTGCTGCACGCCGAACCCGGAATATAAATTCAACTGATTTGACTAAAACATTTCCGGAGTTCCGGTATTCCTTTCAATCCGGTTTGTCCGACAACGGTCACTAAAACCAAGATCCATATCCGGAGAATTCAATAAACGACAGCAAGACTCGAGAAAACAGAAAGTTTTTTTATATTTTTATTATTCGTTTTAGACTTCGCTTGTTTGCAATATAGCCTTATTATGTCAAAACTATTTATTGTTATTATTATTTTTTAATTAATTTAAAAGCCTTTGTTTTAATATTCCTATGTTCAATTAAGGTTAAATTAAAGAATTAAAAAAATTAAATTAAAGGAAAGAGAAAGTTTTTTCTATATTTTTTTATTCGTCGATAGAGCTTCTCTGACCTCGCTTACTCGTCTTCGAAGACGAAAGGTTGTGATAAATCTGCTTTAGTCGTTTCAGGAGAGAAAATTGTATTAAGCAAGGAATATTTAAGAAAAATCTGGGAAATTGTTAAGAGTCATATAATAACTATCGCCAAATTTCAATTCACGAAGTGAATTACTTGTATAGATTTTTTTAAAAAGAAAAAAATAATTGTTTTTATTATAACTGAGGACTCGACTTTCGTCGAAAAAATCGCAAAATTTGTAATAGTTCAGAAGTTATAGTTATAGTAAAGTCCGTTTTTTTTAACTATGCGTATGGATCAATTAATAATTTGAAAAACGTACCAGATAGCTATTTCTTTTTAACATTTGTAAACAGCTTCGTTGCTCTCTCGCTACGTATTTGCGTAAGGTCAGTCATGCTATTTATCTCATTTTAACAAATGCGATTAAAGTAACGCAGAACTAGATGTACCTCAAAAATGTGTGTAGGTCATTTGTAATTTCATTTTTAATGAGGAAAAATGGTTTGGGGCTAATATTTATACCCTCTATATCATAATAACAATCGTAATTCAAGCCCTATAAAAATCCTAAAATGCCAGGGAGAAGCTTTAATTTTTGATTTTAGTACCAAAATGACAGAAGCTGTCAAATGTCAAAAACAGACGGAAGTCATGTCGTGTTCTTGATTCACTCTACCCCCACCAGCAAATTAAAAAAAACTGGATATACTATTTATTACAGGATCTTTTTTATATATTTTTTTATATTTAACTACGAGAAAAGATTTTTCATGACAAAATTGCATTAAAATAATGTTTACGTAAGTACGAGTTTATGTATTGTATTGGTTACATAAGGTTGGTAGTAATATTACACAAGAATATTAAATTTATTATTATTAAAATTAATAATAATTTAGTGCGTCAATCAATGTTTTCACGACTTTACCTATGAAATGTGTACTGTCCTGTATTGCTTTTTTTTGTCATATATTGTACTACACCGGGTGTCCCAGGTTGCCTGTCGCACCCCTATAATTTGGTTATTTCAAACAATATGCCCCATAAAGTATAAAATTTCGTAAATCGCACATCAAACTGCATTAAATGCCGTTGTCAAACTAGCATAATAATGACATTTGTCAAAATAACGATAGTTTTCTTTTTTTTTCTCTTAGGACAATACAAGGTGATTCTTTTAGGGCCTATGTTAGAAACTTTTTAACTTCTAATGCAGATAGAAATTTGAAATTTTGTACACAACCCAAATCAACCAGTCTGAGTTCAACTAAATTATTTTCAAAATGGCTGAACTTCCGGAACTACGAGAAATTGGCGCCAACTTTGAAATTTTAAATGGTAACCAATTATTTTTATTGCATTTTTGAATTCTCCTCTCCAAACTGAGTAAAATGTACCTAGTTGTTAGTACTTATCTATCATAGTTTTTGACATATGTCAATTTTTTGCTCAAAATTTTCATTTGCAGAGGTTTATTAAAAACATCACAGCTCTTGAACCGTTTGCAATAAGTAAATAATTTTTCTTGCATTTGATAACCAAAGGTTCGAAGAGTTTCCTAAAATTGTCAACTGTCAAATTGCAAAGCTTATATGATTTTTTGAAAATGATATGTAACAAACAGCTATAACTCAGTTTTTTCAAATAAAATGACCCCATTTTCTCAACGGCAACCGAAAGTACATCGATTTGTAGAAGGACTTTTATCAACATGTCCTATATCCATCTCTTACAGTTTCTGAAATAATCACGAAAAAGGTGGTTTTGTTTTTTATTTTTATAGTAAATCACGTAGCCTTTGGAAAATGATCAAAACGAATTAAAGATTTATTAGTCTACACAACACCCATCCGGAATTACCGGCATTTAATAATCTTCAACCAAATGAACTAATGGAAGCCACTCAAATCAGTTCACCATCGAGTTTTGGACTGTTTGAAAATGGTAAACATATCGAACATCTGTATTAATTATAAGTATATCTTATTGTATTTTTCCAAAGCCTACGTGATTAACTATAAAAATAAAAACATTAAGATGTTTTCTGTGATTATTTCAAAAACTATAAGAGATAGGTATAGGACATGTTGATAAAGGTCCTTCTACAAATTGATGTAGTTTTGATTGCCGTTGAGAAAATAGAGTTATTTCATTTGAAAAAACTGAGTTAAAGCTGTTTGTTAATGATCATTTTCAAAAAATCATACTAGCCTTGCAATTTGACAGACAACAATTTTGAAAATTCTAGAAAACCTTTCGAACCTTTGGTTTTCGAATGCAACAAAAAATATTTACTTATCGCAAAGGGTTCAAGAGCTGTGATGTTTTGAATGAACCCCTGCAAGTGAAAATTTTGACCAAAAAATTGACATATGTCAAAAACTATGATAGTTAAGTACTAACAACTAGGTACATTTTACTTAGTTTAAAGAGGAGAATTCAAAAATGCAATAAAAATAAGTGGGTACCATTTAAAATTTCAAAGTTGGCGCCAATTTCTCGTAGTTCCGGAAGTTCAGCCATTTTGAAAATAATTTAGTTGAACTCAGACTGGTTGATTTGGGTTGTGTACAAAATTTCAAATTCCTATCTGCATTAGAAGTTAAAAAGTTTCTAATGTAGGCCCTAAAAGAATCACCTTGTATATGTTTGGTTACATATTTTAATAGAATATGTTTTTCTGATTACGTGTATGCACAATATTTGAATTTTAGTGGCAAGATTTGTTTTATAAATGAACGTGCTGTGACTTGTAAAAATAAATAATAAGGAAAATTTATAAGTAACAATCCTTTTTTTTTCATCACAAAAAAATTACATTTAAAGTTTTGTCATTTATGAACGAAAGTCTGGTTTTCTTAACGCAATTACCTAAAAAAAACATAAATCAAAATATGAAGTAACCTCCTTCTGTTTCTACATACCAGGTGAATAAAAAGTATGGAACCAAACGTTTTTTGCTTAAACTATTTATTTTTTGAAAAAACTAATTGATGAGTGCTAAAGTACTATAAAAATGTGATGATTTCACAAGAATAAAATTTTTATTTTTTTTTTATTTTTGAGTTCTACAAAAAAAAATTTTTTTAAAAGGCAACCCACTATAAAATCATTTTTCTCATAAAAGCTATACTGTAAGGATTACAACTATCTGCTTTATTTTTAATTTTTTCAAAAAAGTTTTTTCACAGAAATTGCAATTTTGACAAAAAAAAATCGCATAACTCAAAAACAAAACAAAATTTCGTTCTGAAATTACAATCACATTATATTAAATATTATTTTCTGTAGGCAAATGATTAAAAATAAAACCGCTTGGTTCCATACTTTATATTCACCCTGTATATGTGCTCTGTGTAAAACTTCTTGTATACATGCAAGCCCTACATATACAACTGCAACTATAATAAAATGAATAAGTTTATAAAAAGTGTTTACGTCAACAAGAAAAGCACAAAATCAGTTCTTGACAGTACTCTAAATGTCATTTTTTTATATTATAAAAAAAGTACTATTCTATTGTTCATTAATTTTCCTTATTATTTATTTTACAAGTCACAGCATGTTTATTTATTAAAAAAAATCTTGTCACTAAAAATCAAATATTTATGCATACACGTATTCAGAAAAACATGTTCTATTAAAATATGTAACCAAACATAGACCGTTCTATTAAAAAAAACGGTTAATCAATTTCGGTTTTTATTTTGAGAAATAATTAGACAATAAAGCAAAGTAACAATCAAGTTTTTTATATAACTGTAGGTAATAATATTGTTTTTTATTTTATTTTGTTCACATATACAGGGTGAACCAAATTAGATAAAACTGAGAAATTTTTGAACTTCTTTTTAAACACTGAATATGAACTAATGTGAAACAGCTTTCAGACTATATAACTAAATTACTTGTTTTAAGATTTAATTTTTGAATTTCCTATTTTCTACTCCTAATTATTTGTTGCTTTTTATTTTGCTTGGATTAGTGTGAGTGGGAATTAATGTGTGAAATCGGTGGTTAATTGGCATTTGCAAGATGAAAAAGACCGAAATAAAATTTTCCCCTTTAATGAACAATAAATTACAATATTTTAAAAAACGGACGTCCTACTTATTGCGTTAGCCATTAGTAGGAAAAGTTGTTTAAATAAACTTTTCAAGTTTATCCAAAAAACATAAAAAATTGTGTCTCCAAAAAAGTTGTTCTGAAACATTTTATTTGTCGTTGGTTTAACCATTTTTATGGTGCAAAAGCTGGCATGTGTAAGATTGTAGCTATCGTGTATTTATGTTTTCTTCACTAGCTTCACTGGCTCGCGTTTAAAATTTCATACTCTTGTCTCTAAAATTCGTAATAGAATGTTTAATTTGTCAGCGATAAAAAGCCTCACGTTTATTGAACCACATCTATTCCGAAACAAAAACAAAACTTGTTTGCTCCGTCACTATGTCTCAAAGTATTAATAGCTCAACTATTTCTGTCTTCCTTCCATTTTATTTCAGTTGAGCGCCAGGCTCCTCACCACACCGGGTTACTTTTACACCAAAAAAACTATAATTAATTCTTCAGTTTGCTCAAGAAAATTTGTCAATGTTTAGTTGTGAACTATTCTAAGTAATTTTGTGTGATGAATGCGGCGGGATTTACATATCAGAGGGGGCCTTAAGCAAGGTGAGGGAATATTAGAGATTTTGTCTTAAAATTAGAACCTAAGTGAGACAATAAGCCAAGTTTTCTTACTTTGTTAGATGCTAAAATAATTGAAATTAAAAATTCTTTCATAAATTGGACCAAACGACTGAAAAATGGATATTCATTAAGTTGTGAAATTTATTTTGAAAACATCAAAAACATCAAAGAATTTGACAAATTGGTTTTTGCAGAATTTTTAAAAATAATCATTTGAAATGTAGAAATGTGTTTAAAATTTATGCTTTTATAAGTATAAATAAAGGGTGCGCCTGACCTCGCGCCTCAGAGAAAAATGCCAAGTAAGGTATCAAATGCATGAAAAAATTTTATAAACTTTTATCTATAAAAATTTTGAAGTTATGAAAGTTTAAATTTTGCACTTTGATTGGTTATTTCTGTTGGAAAAATAATTTTACAAGTTTTTTTGATACAGGCTATTAGAAAAGAAAACAAGAAAGCTGTATCCTGAATTGTAACTCCGTTTAATGTTACTTGTTGCTTTTATTTGCAAAATTTTTGTACTTTTATTAAATAATAAAAAAACATATACAAGATTGACAGAGTATTATTAAATAGATATAAAAAAAATGTCAAATGTCAAAAAATAAATGTCAAAAATTTTTGACAGATAGAATTTTTTGAACATTTTTTCCATGTTCTTGGTATCTTTTCTTACTTAAAATTTTTCTCTGGGGCGCAAGTTTAGACATACTATAAATAAATATATACAGGGTGATTCACGAGGAATCATGAGCCTGACCAAATTCTCGATGCAACCAACATTACAGTTGTTGCAAAGCAACTTGCGAAAAGTAATGATGGTTGAATCAAGAATTTGGTCAGGCTTTTTATTTCTTGTGAATCACCTTGTATATATATATTTAAAAATAAATATAAATAATAATTAAATTAATTAATAATGAATATAAATTAGAAATATATATATAATTATAAAACTCATACTTAAAACTATAGAAAAGAAAATATTACAAAAATTGTTTTTTTTTGACAAATGACTTAACTTTGTCTAGATGTATAGTTAGTTGCCTACCACAAATTATTTTTTAAAAGTACTTTTTGTGGATCTCATTTAAATTTTCTCATTTTAGAGGAATTTGTCTCGCAAAACTCAATCCTATTTTCCTACTCTATCCTCCTCGAATAAAATAAAAAATACCTTAAGTACATTTCAGCAATTTTCTTTGTTTTGGCGAACGTCAAAGTGCTAAAAATCTTGTTAGCTATAACGAGGCTAAGTTTTTATACTCACGATTGGTTTCCCGTGTCTTCCAAATTTTGCCACTAGGGACAAAGGACTGAAAACAAATAATAAAACGAAACCACTGAAAGAAACATTTTTCAGGGGTGATAATTGGGTTTTCTTTTATTACGTCTTTCACTGGTTTAAAAAAGTCGATAAAAGGAGTGATTTGATTGGTTGTGTGCTTGGTTTGTGTACAAGAAACGACGAGAAGCTCTCCAGTTAAGGAGAGGAGTTTACTAAATATTTGTTTGCCTATTACCGAGAGTTGTGTTTGCTCAGTCTTCTCGACTTATTTTCTTATTTGCAATTTTAGCAAATCTATTCTTTGGCGATTTGAACAAAACAGTGCGCTGTTTGATTCTATTTTCTGCATTGCTTATTTTTAATTCAGTTGGATGCATTTTTACTGGAGTGTCATCACTTGTTTGATTCAAAAATTTTAATTTTGTAAAAACAGTTTTTAATCGTTATTTATTCAGCGACTTTGTCTGGATATTACAGTTGGTTGGACTTGTATGTACATAGTGGAGTTTTCTGATACAAATTGTTATGGAAAAATAGGTGAAAACCTCTTCTTATTATGCAGGTAGAGCAAAATTAGTTCCGTTTGCAAGCGCATCATGTATTACTTTTTTGTAAAACCCATAATAATTAGAAACAACAAGTGAGCTTTTATTTCTTTTTCTATAATGTTGCAACCCAGTTTTATTATTTGTTGTATTAGATAAATAACTTTTTATTTTCTACTGTTTAATTAACTTTGTTAATTATGATATTCCGAGAAAACCTGAACAAATTTAAAACATTTAATAAATTCTACTTGAAAATTTCAATTTTTTTTTATATATTTAATTGTATTGATGCAAACTAAATAGGATAAATTAGATCGACAAAAAAATATTAAATTAAAGGCTCAAACCTAGGACCATAAACATAAATTTTGACCTAAAACTCATAGTTTTCGAGTTATGATTTTTTTGTGTTAAACTAAAAATTACACCATTAAATATGTAGTTAATTTAACGCTGATTTTTATGTTTTTTGTTTTTCGCTTCAACTTTTATGGTTTCTAAGAAAATTGCATTAAAAGTTTTGCAATTTTGACAATTTTTACTTTTTAAACGACGATTACGGCGAAACTATTACAGTTATATTGCAAAAAATTTGACAGTTTAAACAGCGTAATTTTTTTTACCCAGCACTAATTTTATATTAATATTTTGTATAAAAATATTCAATTTTTAAATTCTAAACTAAAAGATTTAGATCAAAAAACCCGGCAGATTCGTAATTAGTGTGTCAAAATCTATCGAATACAGTTTAGTATTTTTATTATTTATGTAATATTTATACCTTAGTAACACAATTTTCCAAAAAAAACTTGAGCTTTTAGTTCAAAAATCTGCTGAACGTTTCAAAAACGCAAGAATAATTTCAATTTTTCATCAATTTTGTTTATTTTTTTGTTTGTTTTAGCGAAATTTCTTGATAAAAATGTCTTTCCATTTTAGTGACTTTTTTCTCAATTTTAACAAAATTAATTAACAAAAACAAGTTTTTAGCTCAAAATATGCTTTTACGATTTATATTGACAAAAATACAGATAATTTTATAGTGTTTTTGGCCTTTTTGAGGAATATTTCTTACTAAAAGCGTTTTAAAACATTTGAAAAAGGCAAAAATAACATAATTCTTAACTTAAGTTGCTAATTTTACGATCTGTTTGAAGAGAATTTATTTTTGACGTTTTAATATTGTACTATTTGCTTTTGATAAGTGAAAAGACAAGTTAAGGTCGTTTGTGCTATTTTTGAAAAAATTCTAATAAACAGTTTAAAAAACAAATTTGTTTGTGGAGCTAAAGTTCTGTCATTTAATTTGATTTTTAATTTAAGTATTTTTTTGTGGTGGTCGTAGAACAAGTTAGTATGTAACACGTCTATAAACTTTTCTAGATATTTATTATTTGCGCTTCGCCCGTGTCTATTTTGTGTCTAAAGTGGCGTTTATAGCACTAGTTACATAATAAACTATTTTGACCCAGTTTGGATCTCTTACTTGTTTCTTACTTATTTTCGACTGAAAAAACAAACTTTTTTGGCACAATTTAGCAAAATTTTAGAAGAAAATTAAATTAAAGACATGTTAAAAAACTATTTATAAGCGGGGTGTTTCGGGGAGTCGATTGGCGTCGAAAAAACTGCAAAATTTACATTAGTTTTGAAGTTATAGTCAAGCACAAATAATTTGAGATTCTTAGATATTTTTGACTTTACCAGCATTTTTCTTAATAAATCGATAACTATTCATTTTAGGTTAATGATCTTTTTACCCATAGATAAAAAGTTAGAAATGTTTTTTAACAGTACTAAACTTAAGGGGCTATTATTAATAATTTTACAGCTATTGGCGACAGACCGCTCTGGGTACCAAAAATCGACCAAAATCTTGTCAAAAATAAAAAAAACCCACAACTTTAAACTTAAAATTGAATCAAATAAGATTGTCACATTTCGAAAGTCCTAGAGTCTTAAAAAATAAAACGTGCTAGGTTTAGTTTAAAAAAAATAAGGTAAATTTAGTAACATGAAAAACTATGACAGATACCGACAACTTGGTTTTACTCAGTAAACCAAGTTTTGAAACTTAAAAACTAAACGCAAGGACTCCAAATTTTGTGCACAAAAGTCTGAGAAAATTATATCATAACAAAATAAAAAGAACAAATAATTAATAAAATGTTACCTCTCTAATTTTTATAAATCGAGCTACTTTGGATATCCCATAAAATAAACTAAAATCAGAAAGTCTCAAAATAAGTCAATTTTTATTTACAGGGGAACACTTTTTAGTGTACTTTTGAAAATTGTAGCATTAACCCCTTTTCTAATATAAACAACCCTTTCAAAATTTTAAATGGCACCACCACTTTTGTGATACCTCAAATGAAAGGTATTTTAATTGGGAATTCGGTTGTGTGTTTTGTATTATTATATTATAATTGAGATATCCAGGGTTGTTCGTTTAAATAAAAAACACTCTGTATACTTATATTCGGATAAATAATAGTAATAATAAACAAAAATTAGGTAAACAACTGTATTTTTTTCAAATAAATTTATCCTCAATTATACACAACATATTTTTTTGAAGTTAGGTTTCCTAATCGATCGTCCGACACAATCTTGCATCCCTTATTATGTAATAACGGATGTAGAAGCAAGAACTACCACCCCTTTCCACATACAAGACCCAGAGGCCTATACTAATTAATTCCGGCTAGTTTTGTTTACATTACACGTGCTTTCCGACAAGCGAGATATGGTTTTCATTTTCCTATGTGAAGTGAACATATTGCGTTGAAACAGTTAAGTACAAAGTTGGAAGTTTATTCGAGCCCTGGATAGTGTTGGCACACATGAAGATGAGTTACTATTGCACACTAGTGCTAAAATATGACAGCTTTGAACCTCATGTTTGCCAGAAAGAATTTTCACAATTTAGGTCATGTTTTTAATTAGTGAAACTCTAATAATCAAATATTGTTAAAACTTGAGCTTACATGAAATGCACAAGCACGGATTTGAATTAAAAATTTGCACGAGATAATATCAATTTAAAATTTTTCAGTTATAATTAGATAGTTGCAAATATCTCGATTTAGAAGTTTCGACGAAAATAGACACAATTTGAGATCCCTACGCAGTTCCAAATT